CAGGTGCTGGCAGGCTGGTTTTGCTAATTCATCCTTTGATCTTGGCTTAGGTCTCATTGTGACTTTGTAAGCCTGACCCTAACAAAACTCCTCTACAACATAGTGGTGTGCTTTTCAGACCAGGTATATGTGGGTCATGACATTCCCTAAGGAGAGTTAAAAAAAAAAAAGCTGCTGGCAGCTGTGATAATCCACAGCAGCAAGCCAGTTACAGCTGTTTTCACCTCCACCCTAGAACAGGTTTTTTTGGTAATGCCTATGCAAGGCAAAGATGGTAACTCATAACAAGGATATCTTTACTGCTGGGAAAGTCTAATTTCTGTCCTTTCCATCCTGTACTCAAGCTACTTGGAGAATTACAACTCATGCTCAAAAGCAAGAGTGGATAACAGGTGATGCTATGATCATCGCTGTTAATAGAGAAGTCCTGCTTCTCGATCCAGTGAGCCCTGTCTCCATTACAACACTGTAATAGCAGGTCGTCCTTCCTTCTGGCATTTCTGGGCCTCCTGGAAATAAAATGTTTGTTTTCTTTGCTGCTGAAACCGAAGCAACAGCACTAGTACTAATGAGTCTCCTGAGGGTAATAATGCTGATCTGCTTTGCTGTCAGGCAAATTAATAAACTAATGTAAGATTACTGTGCTATATAAACATGCAATCTTACGCATATGCATATTATGATCAATAGTCATAACACTACCATCAGGAGAAACTGTGCTTGATGATGTAAAATATGCAAAGTAAAATAAAGAGATTAGGTCCCTGCCCGAAGAAGCTTGCAGTTATACCTAGATTATCTAAAACTGAACACGGGCCAAGATGGGGGAGCAAAGGAAAAGCAGGAAGAACAGGAGAGGAAGGTGTGTTTATTTTCATCACCCTTAATTGTAGGATGTTGCAGCCCAGCTGTTGCCAGGACTGGAAGATCAGTTGAGGAGGTGCAGGAAGCTACCACACTGAGCGTAGTGAGTGGCTGTCTCAGCCAAAGGAGGCAGGGGAGGGGAATAGCTGCACCCGTACTGCCACCTTTACGAACTGGGACAAACCGGTTCGTGCCCATCTCTATTCACTACTTAATAGTGTATGCGGAAGAACATCATGACAAGAGGAAAGCCAACATGGTGCTGTCTGTCAGACAGTGGAAACACAGCTGCAGCTCACATATCTTTTTGTAACAAAACAAATACATAAGCACAGCCCTCTGAATGTTTATTTGGAAATAATTATAATACTTCATTTTATTGTTTTACAAATTTATCACAGGGTGCTAAGGATTGCTTAGATTTAGAGGATTCCAGCCATGAAGTACCAGAGTGAATAAAGATCAAGGAATAATAAAACACATTTTAAAAAGCTACTATACAGTACTTTGGCCATGTAATGTATAAATAATATTGCTTCCTTTGCTTATCAAATTCTACACATGGGTAAAGAAGTACAGACAAGGGAAGTTCTTATTGGCTGGAATCTCACTGGTGTTTGCCTAAGGCTTGTGTAACTTGCCATGGCTAATTGCAGCTACAGTGGTGCCTTGCAAGACGAGTGCTTCGTTTTACGACGAAATCGCATAACGACAAAGATTTTGTGATCGCAAAAGCGATTGCAAAATGATGTTTCCTATGGGGTTTTTTGCTTTGAGGTGATCGGTTCCCTGCTTCGCTAACCGATCATCATAAAACAACGATTTTCCTACAGCGGATCGGTGGTTTCAAAATGGCCACCAGGTAAAAAAATGGCTGCCCGCTGTTTTCTGGGACGGATTCCTAGCTGCACGGGCAGCGAAAATGGCCACGCTATGGAAGATCTTCGCTGGACAGTGAGTTTCAAGCCCATAGGAATGCATTAATTGGGTTTTAATGCATTTCTATGGGCTTTTTAAAATCGCTTTACGATGTTTTCGTTCTACAGCGATTTTGCTGGAATTAATTAACATCGTAATGCAAGGCACCACTGTATTAGAAAAGATGCCAGCGTGCAGTTAGGTTATGCAATAGAGAGCATGATCAGGCACATGACTGAGATGCACTCCAGCACTTTTCTATTAGCCACAATTAGCTGCAGCAAGTTACTGGAGCCTTTTGCAAGTATGAGTAGGGTTCTGGCCATTGACTGAAGAATCTTGGTGGCTGGTTTAGATGCTATACAACATTGTCGTTGAGAGCTGCCACATCTGGTCAAGCTATTCAAACATGGCATGAGAATAAGAAATTCAATTTCTGCAGATCACTCTTTGCTTATTCCATCTTAGGACATCATGAAACATCTGGACTTCAGCTATCAAGGTGTCTAACATGCCCTTTTGTTTTTGCTGCTAACATCTTTAACATATGAATAGATCTAGAGAGATAAAAGCTTGCATACACGTTTGTTCTCTTTCCATTGGCCTAACAAAGTTATAAGTATATCAAGTGCCGCCAAATCACATCAATGGATAAAAACATCGTTGAATCAAAAAATAATTAAAATTGAAACTTTATTATTATTTTCAATACTGTATTTAAGGATGGAAATGAAAAATTATCCAATAAAGACCTAATTGCACATCTTATTGGTGCAGCAAGAGTTGAAATTGAACAAAACTGGAGAAATGCTCAAGTAAAAAAAATTGAGAACAGAATCTGCCAAATGGTCCCGATGGAAAAGCTGACCAATCAAATTAAAATATATAGAGGGGAAATAAAACAGGATAAATTTATGAAAACCCAGCAACCATTATTAACATATGGAAGTAGCTCAAGAAAAGAAGAATGTGATGTGGGAAGTAATTTGGATTGCTGGCATGCAATATTTTAAAAATAATTAATTATGTTAAAATATGAAGTAGTGGATGTGTAAAGAAAGATAATCTACTGAAAGAATATGTAAGTAATGTGATTATATTGTACTACAATTTTAACTTGCATTGTCATACTATGGATTTTCGAAAAATTTAAATTATTTTTTAAAAAAACAAATCCAACTTTTGTTGTTTAGTCATTAAGTTGTGTCCAACTCTTCGTGACCCCATGGACCAGAGCACGGCAGGCCCTCCTGTCTTCCACTGCCTCCTGGAGTTGGGTCAAATTCATGTTGGTAGCTTCGGTGACCCTGTCCAGCCATCTCGTCCTCTGTTGTACCCTTCTCCTCTTGCCTTCACATTTTCCCAACATCAAGGTCTTTTCCAGGGAGTCTTCTCTTCTCATCAGATGGCCAAAGTATTGGAGCCTCAGTTTCAGGATCTGTCCTTCCAGTGAGCACTCAGGGTTGATTTCCTTCAAAATGGATCTGTTTGTTCTCCTTGTAGTCCAGGGGACTCTCCAGCACCACAATTCAAAAACATCAATTCTTCGGCAGTCAGCCTTCTTTACGGTCCAGCTCTCACTTCCATACATCGCTTCTGGAAAAATCATAGCTTTGGCTATACGGACTTTTCTCGGCAAGGCGATGTCTCTGCTTTTTAAGATGTTGTCCAACTTACAGGAACACTAACAGGGTATCTTGTGCAGAATTTTTGGTTAAATTCCTCTAGTTGTGTAGCAGGAGTGCAGGGATTCACGGAGCAGAATAACTTCAAGTTCCCCAGAGATTACACCTTTTCCTCTTCAACTGGCACTTATATTCTCAAGAATTTTTTGTGATGTTAGTAAGAGAAAGAATAAATGGATAACAGCAAGCTATCAGCATGCCTACTTTCAGCAAATGCCTCAACAGACTAACTGCTTTCAGCAGACTCAGGAGAGGGAGAGAGACACTGAGCAGAAAGGTGAGACTCTCTTTGAATTCAAGACACACGGAAATAACTATTGGTCAGTGCTGGACAGACTGACAGTCACGTCAGCCCCAAAAAATGCCTTTTTGAGCCAGACCTACTAAAGGCAGCATGAGAGGCTGCAAAAACCCCTTTTTCAAGGGATGTGGGATATTCAAGGAGCCCTTTTACCAGTCCCCCCACGCCCTTGTGAGGTTCCATGGCTTAGTAGGGATTTGAACCCAGCTCTCCCGATCCCTAATGCATCGCTCTATTTGTAAAGTAGACATTGAGTTACGCTATCCACCGTCCACATCTTCTTGGCTTTCCATAAAAGTATTGCACCAATTCACGTGGACTTTCAATATTTTTTTTTCCTTGTGGATGGTGTGGAAGACATAGCTACTTTTAAGAGCCAAAGAACCCCAATACTTATTAAAATTAGTTTATTTACACTTGCTTTGTGTGAGGCGACTGTTGTTATTATTACTACTACGACCACGGTTATTCCTTTTAGAAGCCAGGGTGGAAGCTCAGCCTGATTGCTTTTTGTGAGGCGACTATTATTACTACTACGACCACGGTTATTCCTTTTAGAAGCCAGGGTGGAAGCTAAGCCTGATTGCTTTTTGTGAGGTGACTGTTATTATTACTACTACTACCATGGTTATTCCTTTTAGAAGCCAGGGTGAAAGCTAAGCCTGAGTCCTACTGCTCGCTCTCCTCTGCGAAATGTGAGTTTCCCAACAAGTGTTTTTTCAAAAGCAAAAAAGTAAAGGGGAAAAAAGGGGGGAAAGGCGGGTGGAAGGCGGGAGGTGGGCGGCCGGGGTGGAGGGGAAGAAAGACGAGCGCTTGGAGCAGCAACTAGGCCTCGTGGTTGGCTTAGTAACCAGAGAGCGCGGCTCGACCTGCCAGGGCCTCCGAAGAGGGCGGGCCAGCCGGAGAAGCGAGGGCGAGCGGAGGAGACAGGGACGGGATCCGGGCGAGCCTGTGTCAGCAGCTTCCCCGCTTGCCCAGAGGGGCGTGTGAGGGAAGGAGAGGCAGGCAGGCGGGGGAGGCGCGGCGGCTGACAATGGTTACAACCCTGAAGGAGAAGAAGAAGAAGGAAGAGGAGGCGGAGAAGCTGCTCCTGGTGGTGCTGCTTTAGAGGCGCGGGCGCGCAGGCTGCAGCCGGGACTGTGCTAGCAAAGGGAGAGGGAGAAGCGAGGGGTTGGGGTGGGGGACACATACACACACACACACACACACACGGAGAGGGAGAAGCGAGGGGTTGAGGTGGGGGACACATATACACACAGAGGCAGGCCAGCGTTGCAGTTACTTTCCCTGCCTCTTGATTCCTTGGGAAGCCGCTTTGCAGGCAAGAGGGGAAAGAACTTGGGCGAAGCAGAGACTTTTGCGTGTCTGAGCTGCCTTGCCTAAAAACCAGCTCGCCCGCCTATCGTGCGTGCCAAGAGATGGGGGTCTCCGGGCAGACCGCGTAGCAGCCCGGGGAGGAGATGCTGCTCTCGCTTTTGCTCGGCTTCTCCCCTTCCTGGGACTTCTGGGCCGATTCCAGTTAGCCCCGTTGCGAGGGGAAGGGGAAAAGGAAGACCACCGCCGTCCCCGAACTGTCGGTTCTGAAGCCGAACGATTAGTAAGTGAAGCCCATGGGCACGTTTTCTTGGGGTTTTTTTTTTTGCAAGGGGTGGTGGTCTTCCTTTGGTGTTGAACGGGGGATGATGACCGCCCGGTCACCCCCTTCCTCACGTGCCTGTTTAACACGGGTGTCTGCGTGGTGTTGGGGCCCCCGTTCATGAAGACCTCGAAAGGCGATGTTGCTGCTGGGAGGCACGTTGTCCTGCTGATGGTGCCGATGCCCTTCGTTGAAAGTTTGAAGGGTTGCCATGTGTTCATTGATTCCTCTTCCCCCCTTGGCTAAATAGAGGGGGGATGATTGAAAGATGGGTGTGGGGCTGCTGTTTGTGGGCGAGGAGGAGGAAGAAGTGCAAACGAGTGGGATAACCTCCTGTTTCTCTGTGATTTTTTTTTTAAGTTGCGAAGAACTGGGATGTATTGTGGTGTTGTTCGGATATCCCCTTGCAATCACCTGCACTGGAGATGCGTGATGGGAAGACACCCGTGTGTCAGTATCTCCCTCCACACAATGCGAAGTTAGAAAGGGGGGGAGGCACAGTGGTTGCTTCTTTGGGGTTGTTTTTTTTAATCCTAAAGCATCTGTTTCCATGCTAATCCGCTCCACGTGGAACTGCTATTTGTAATTCTACCTGTTTTCTTTGTTAAGAGTTTAGATAAATGTGTTGACTTTCTGTATTTGGACTTAGGATGATGGTTCTTTGAATGAAAGCCTTAAAGAGACTAGCCTTATGCTGTTTCTGTAACCAAGGGGGACATTTTTGGAGAGAAATTTCATGGCACTTTTTCTTTTCTTTTCTTCTTTTTTTTGCTGCTTCATTTTGTGGCTGTTTCTTTTAAACAGGCCTGCCTCGCCTGCTTATTCCTTTTCTCTCTCCCCCCCACCTCTTAAATAATTGTGGAAAATCTGGCGTCTCCTCAGAAGAATGCAAGGGAGGACAGACACTCTCATGCAAGCTGTTTTGCTGTTGTTATTATGGTTTCCTGCTTGTTCCTGTCCAGAAACCTCAGCATGGAGCAGAACTTGCTGAGCTTCACAAAAGGGCAAATGTGGAAAACGGCATTGGATTTGGAAAGTTGGAAAGTTCAAAATGTTGAATGGCACCCAGATGCAAAAATTTTTCAATGAAAGACTTTCCCAGTAAGCTTGATACACTATTCTCTTTGTGTTATGTGCTGTCAAGTCGGAACAGACTTACAGTGGTGCCTCGCTTAACGAGCGCACCGTATAACGATGAAATCGCATAGCGATCCGTTTTTTCGGATCGCTAATGCGATCGCACAACGTTGTTTCAATAGGGAAAAATTCGCTTTGCGAAGACCGGTAAGCGTTTCGCTTACCGATCTTCGCAAAACAACCCCCGCCGATCAGCTGTTCGGCGTCCAAAATGGCCGCCGGAAGCCGGAAAATAGATATTTAAGGATTGGTTTTACAGTACTAATTTCACACCCCCAGTGAGTCTTCCATGGCTGTGCAGGAATTCGAACCCAGACCTCCTGACTCCTAGTCCATCGCTCCACCCACTACATCATGCTATTCTCTAGTCCTTCAAATCTCTTAAATCAGTAATCCTACTGAAATCAGTCCAGCTCTGCAGAGAAGAGATATAGGGTGGGAGATAAGTGGAACTGGAATTAGAAGGAGAAATCTGGTAGAGAAGCCATGAGAAACAATATGGGTTTCATTTGATATTTATCAGCCTGCAATCAACACCTCTGCAAAACCACAGCTTAATCTCTCTTTCATATTGGCGAGTGTGTCATTCTGTCTAAATTGCATGTTTAAAACAACAAAGGCAGTAACTTCACAAGAGAACCGCCAAGAGTTTCTGTAGTACTCTAGTTTGTTGGGAATTAAAACTGGGCAACCGGTTTGGTTTGCTGGGTGGATCCCAAACTACCAAATGTAGGACATCCAAAACTGTGGGGCCACCCTTGGAGTTTGGTTATTGGTGTATTTAAAACATCTTGCTGGGGTGAGTTTGATGTGTTTTCCTGTTCTTAACAGGACATAGACTGTAGTTATAGTGAGATTTGGGAGATGTGGAAAGGAGATTGGAGTAGAGAGAGGTAGTCTGTGCCCAATTTTGCTTTTTTAAAAAATGTGCATCTGGATAAATTTTCAAAGTGGTCACCTGTGTTATCAAAAAACATAGTTGTGGGTTCAGGTATCACATTGAGCAATGACCTAACCACAGCACAAACCATGGATTTAGATCAGGGTGGGTAACAATAAATTATTTTTTAAAACTAAATTGATTTAAATCACATTTTATTTTTTTAATCATTTTTATTTAAATCATCAAATCTGATTTTTAAAAAAGATTTAAATTGTGAGTTAAATCAATCTGATTTAAATCAGATACACTTTGTTTAGATTGTGGTTAAGAAACAATGACTTGTTAATAGGGGACGTGGTGGCACTGTGGGTTAAACCACTGAAGCCTTTGTGCTGCAAGGTCAGAAGACCTGAAGTCGTAAGATTGAATCCATGTGACGGAGTGAGTCTCCCGTCGCTGGTCCCAGTTCCCACCAACCTAGCGGATTGAAAGCATGCGAAAGTGTGAGTAGGTAGATAGGTACCACTTCGGTGGGAAGGTAAATGGCGTTCCGTTTCTAGTCATGCTGGCCATGTGACCATGGAGGATTGTCTGCGGACAAACGCTATCTCTATGGAAACAAAGATGTGCACCGCCCCCTGGAGTTGGACACGACTGGACAAAATTTTCACGGGGAACCTTTTACCTTTACCTATGTGCATTACCAAAAATAGATTTCAAGAAACCACATACAGTAATAGCTTTTTGTGATGTGTGAACACAGTCTTTGAATTGGAGATGGGGAAAATCTTAAAGAAAGAGAGAGAGATGCATCCTATGCATCCTGTGCATCACCTAAAAAGCAAGATGCAGCTGTGTTAGTCTGTCTCAATGTACTGGCAAAATTAAAAGGGAAAATCAGAGAGGGGGCAAATGCAAAATATTGTGAGACAACAGATTTATTACAGTGTGATCTTTTGTGGATCAAAATCCACTTCTTCAGACACAAGGAGTGCAAATACAAGTCCTCTATAGACAGCATCTTAAAAAGCAGAGACATCACCTTGCCAAAAAAGGTCCGCATAGTCAAAGCTATGGTTTTTTCAGTAGTGATGTATGGAAGTGAGAGCTGGACCATAAAGAAGGCTGACCGCCGAAGAACTGATGCTTTTGAATTGTGGTGCTGGAGGAGACTTTTGAGAGTCCCCTGGACTGCAAGGAGAACAAACAGATCCATTCTGAAGGAAATCAACCCTGAGTGCTCGCTGGTAGGACAGATCCTGAAGCTAAGGCTCCAACACTTTGGCCATCCCATGAGAAGAGAAGACAGGGATCTAGGTGGATCTCCACTGGCAAGTTGTTCCAAAGGCGAGGGGCCACTGCCGAGAAGGCAGTGTTCCCATGGATTCTTGAATGCCAACAAATTATATTTTTTTTCATCTTTTACCATGTCTAGCTTTGTAATCTGTTTGTGCAATCTTTGACAATTCACAGGTGAGGTGTGACACAGTTGCATCGTTATCGTTAGTATTTTCTTCATCACCATCATTTAATTACTCATACAGCAAGAGAGGCATATCCTCTCCAGTGCTTCCCAACCTTGGGTCTTCAGATGTTCTTGGACTACAACTCCTAAAAATCCTGGCCAGCACAGCTAGTGGTGAAGGTGTCTGGGAGTTGTAATCCAAGAACATCTGATGAGCAATAGGTAAAGGTAAAGGTTCCCCTTGACAATTTTTGTCCAGTCTTGTTCGACTCTAGGGGGCGGTACTAATCCGCGTTTCCAAGCCATAGAGCCAGCGTTTGTCCAAAGATAATCTTCCGTGGTCACATGGCCAGTGCAACTTAGACACAAAACGCTCTTACCTTCCCACCGAGGTGGTCCATATTTATCTACTCGTATTTGCATGCTTTTGAACCGCTAGGCTGGTGGGAGCTGGGACAAGCGACGGGTGCTCACTCCGTCATGTGGATTCGATCTTACAGCTGAAGATCTACAGACCTTACAGCACAGAGGCTTCTGCGGTTTTAACCCGCAGCGCCACCATGTCCCTCCCGCCACCACGTCCCTCCTGATGAGCTGTAGTTGGGAACAATTAAGAAACCGCTACTATATTAAAGCAGGAATCTCAAAAGGTAATACAGGAGGCAGCTCAGTTTGGCTTGCTTATCCAGTGTTATGATAATAATACTTGTAATGTGTGAAATGTAGATATCTTGCACAGTAGTGTTTGATTCAGCAGCTGTGAAGGAAAATTTGTAGGTCTGGTGTAACACATGTTTTGCATTGAAAAGAACATAGGTTCGGTGTTTGGCATTCCAGTTAAAAAGATCAGATAGCACAGTAGTTCTCACTCTTTGGTTCTCCAGATGTTTTAGCCTCCCAACTTCCGGAATCCCTGGCCTTGCTTTTTGGAGCTTCTGGGAGTTGGGAGACTAAAACATTGAGAACTACCCAAGTAGCTGTTGATGGAAAGCGTATTATCCACCTTTTATTCCTCAGAACCACTGAATAAAATGGTTGAACTGATACAAGGTACCTTCTTCTACTGTAGTCTTTTCTACATTTCTAATCTCTAAAATCCTTTATTTACTACTAGTTACACGTATTGGCTGTATTTACATCCCACCTTTCATCTAGTGAGATCAGGGTGGCTACATGGGTCTTCTCTCCCTTTCTTCCTCATGAATATCTTATGAAGCAGGTCAAGCTGAAAAAAAAAAAGACCAGCCCAAGGTCAACCTGGGTGTTTCCTAGCTCATTGGAAACCAGAACCTGGATTGCTTAAATACCATTCAGTGCGCTAGACAGCTACATCAAAAGCTGCTGTTCTTTAATAATTTTGTTGTTTTTTTTAAAGTGCTCTGAAAATACGGTTAAATCTCCCTGCACCTACATGTAAAACAACTGAATTTAGGATATAAAAAGTCTATACTGGGAAAAAGTCTAATAGTTCAACAG